CAAAAACAGGCGGGAAACTTTTGTATTACTCTCTGTAGAACAAAGACATGCACATCTCAACAAAATTAAATAAGAATTATGGCAGTCATTCATATCTCACTTGTAAATGAGTTTTCACGACCAAGGTGTTGAAGAGACCTGAATGTGCACATATATACAGCAATTTACAACCATCAACCTCTTTGATTTTGATGTTAAACACATCTAGCATTGTGTGCACACATTATTATTATATTATATCTTTTGGAGCTTGTTTCAAAAACTCACTGTACTACTTATATTTTTTGTGTGAACTATAAAATCGTATCTTCTTGGTCCGCCCTTGAACCATTGTGAGTATTAGTACCATTTAAGGTAAACATTACAAAACAATGGATGAATGAAGGTTACTGAAAGATCAAAGCCCAGAACCCGTTTTGAGAATGCGTTTTTTCTAAACCAACGAAATAAAACCAAACATTCGACCCAGGACAAATATCTGACAAGACATTCCACTTAGTTCTCGACGAGACCTGATATATCGCATATTCGTTAATCGTTCAGATACACAGGGATCGAAAGAAATATGAGAATTAGGAGATCTGACCTGTTGCATGTAGACAAACTTAATTTTGAATGAACTACATCTAAAATGATGATTCGATTGTTCTTATTAAATGAATGATTCGAAGAGTTTTTGTATAAAAGTGTATAATTATAAATTCTTATTGCAGAGCGCTTTCGACTTTTGTGCTCAATTGAAAGTAAGTGATCTAATTGGAAAAAATTTTTTTGTGAAAGTAAAATTTTCAAAATTTTGAGGTTATGAATTTAGCAAAAACTATTGAAGATTGCTTACTTGTCAGACAACAGGAAGTATTGAAAATGAGAACATATTACATTTGTAAGATTTGATTTAGAGATTGAGGCCATGTGGTTCGGTCAAAGTATGAAATGAATGAAGGGCAACTTTCTTGTCAATTAGATCACTTACTTTCAGGTGTGCACTGATGATAACGAAAGTCGAAAGCGCTTTGTAATAGGAATTTATAATTATACACTTGTATACAAAACTCTTCGATTCATTTATACATTTTGAGTTTATCTCTGATCAATTTATTTCGTTTTGTCATCTTCAAATAATTGTTTTGATTTTTTTAGGAAGCTTTTCTGTCATTGATATTGACACAGTTTTAAAAGTTGGGCATTTTATTTTTGATCAAACTACAAAAAAGCCTTTCATTTTCCAACTGGGTATGGGCTACACTTATTTTTACCGTTATTTTCAACATCTCGACACATGTTTCGACAACCAAGTGTACATCATGATCATATGAAGACAATCACTTCGCTCGACACGTCTTTCGATCACCAAGTGATTTATCACTTGGTGATTTATCGAAACACGTGTCGAGGTGTTGAAAATTCTTTACACATGAAAAAGCTATTGACTAGCGAAACACGAGTTGCGTTTTTGTGAAATGGTGTAAAAATCTCACAATATAGTTCACATTATGAATTGTCATCAGGTATCGGCAGATTCCATCACATATCGCCAACAGGTGCTATGCAGGAAGAAATTTGGTAAAAATCACCATTTACTGTTACTTCAGAAATACCCCACATTTTACCAAGAAAATTTTTTTCAATCCATGTGTTATATATATCACGAAAAATATTAAGTACTCTTCAACAAATCCTGTAAGTTCAATATGATTTGAATAATTGACTAATAATTTACATAATCAACTGTTTTCAAGTGAAGTTGTGAGGCAAGATTAACATATTCAATTTTTTTTAAATTTTCCTTGTATGTTTCATCAACATATTTCTTTCCCGAGTTAGTCGGGAATATCTACTATGACATAAAGTTGAGCAAATACGGATGATCTGAGTATTTCGAGAGATAATCCATCTGTAATTATGTTTCATAAAAATGTTCAGATACGTTACTATAGTGTAGTCATTGTAGAAAATTACGATTATTTTTTTCAAACCGATAAAATGATGGGAAAATTGAAGGCTAGACTACCACTACAGCCATGACAGCCATGAAGGTTCAATTATTCTTTAATCACATGTAACTCTCTGAGACAAGTCAAATGAATATGGAAATCAAATAATACTCACGAATAGAATGAACATATACAAGATACCGAAGTGAAAAATGAATTGCCACACTTCACTGGTTCACATAATCACATGAAAATAAGACAAGATCCTTCAATTGAAACTCCTTGAATACTAACAATTCATATATGAAATCCAGAAATCCCAAGATTATAATCGAAACTCATTCGTATAATAAGACAATTTCAATTCGAAGAAAACCTTATTTTGTTTTTCAATGAAATCGAAATCAATACGTGACGTATTTGTGATCCATCTAGCCTCGTCAACGTCGACTATTGCTGATAAATACGACTTTACTCACTTAGGTATCCTATTCAAACTTTCAAACGAATGTTTTTGTTGGAATTTCTCGTGATTCAGGTAATACAATTTATTGGCTAAAGATACTAAATATATATTAAAGAAGAAAGTAATATATAATTGTAAGTAATAATAATTGGCGTTCCGGAGCGACTTAATTGATTCTAGTGACGCATTTGCTTTTTCAGCTGCAGGAAAACCCGGAAAAACCTTCAGCACCACATCATCTGAAGATCTTGATCTGTCAATGTCCTCTCTTTCATAAAACAAAATGTAAGGTGTCTCCAGAGGCTCCAATAAATTCAAGACATCGCCAGAACACTTAGTGACACGACTATCGTCAAACTCAAACCAGTCCGTTTCGTCTTTGACAATGCATAATAATAACCAGATTCAACGCTAGAACCACAGCGAACAATGACTGCATGAAGATTATAATTGTGGTCTGCTAGATTGAAGTGTTTATCTATTTCGAACCTTCGTAAGAGTTTGGTGCTTCCGTCAGAAGTTGAGTCATGTTTGAAGATTATCAGTGTTATTACTAAATTGACTGGTGCCTCACCTATACTTGTTTTCTCATAATAGTCAGTTAGTTTGGCGCATATTTGGCAATACATTTGATCATCACCCGTTAAAATTTCCATTTTCAGATGATTTAACAACAAGCTTTGCACGGACTGGTTATCAGTCCTATTAGGAAACGCTAGTTGAATATTTAGAAAATCACATACGTTTTTGCTATCTCTTGAACATTTACTACAAAGTAAATAAGTGAGAATTTTTCCAGCAAATATCTACAAACACAAGACGAGATAGACTTCATGGAATCATTCAATCCAGAAGGAGTATTGATTCTGCTGTTTTTTGCTCACGAAGGGCATTCAACAAGAACCCCAAAAATTCGGAGCAATTCTCTTGTTGTCCTAACGAGTATCTAGTGGACTTCAAAGACTCCAGGAAATTGGTTGGTGGGAAAGATGATACATTCTTACGAAATTGCAAATGCATGAACAATTTTTTGAGTTTGGTGAATAAGTAGAAAACATTATCGTTCATCGTTAAAACATCTTTCCTGAAATTCTTCGTCATGAACAATTTAGTTGATTTGAGAATATTTTTCTCTTATATCGATGCATTCAGTTAGAATATTTCAGAAAATAATCTTTACGAATACCACTCGACTACTAAATTTTCTCATATAAATGTCTATTTTTTGAATTCAAAGTTTGTTATTTCTGAGAAATACCAATGGAGCAAACAACAATACCACTCGTCCAACGGACTCGTGATTTAGGTAATCATCCTGTTTGCTCTCGTGTTATTGATAAATAACAAAGTTTTCAATATAAAATGGAAAATTATCGATAAAATTCGGAGGTGATATTACTATTGAATATAATGATATTACCGAAAATAACTTGAGATTGAGAGGTAATCTCACGCATTCATATTTCTCTTAAAAAGTTTTGATTGAAACAATATTGAAAATGAAAGCAGAATAATATTCGTTACTTCTAATCTACAATCTGTGTATTTAATTCACATTTGAGTACCAGTTCCAGTCAAGCTGGAAAGCTATTAAACATTCCATCATTAACTAGTTGAAAAATTTAATATTCTACCGAAGATTCTAAACGAACGAACTGTATGTAAATGTTTAGTGAAATGATTTCATACTGTTCAAAAAGTGAAATAAATATTAGCATTATTATTATTATTACTCAAGATAATTACTTTTGAAACAATTGGAAATACATTATTCTCGCATATTTTGCATCCTCAAACGATACTGAACTGAATGTATGGAAAAGTAAGTTTCCTCACACCTGCAATGTAAACCATTTGCTCAAATAAATGGAATGAATATCTAAAGCTAAGGTGACGAATCAAACAATACAAAGAATTGTGAAAATATCGGAGACTATAACAGTTCATAGTCAGAGTTATGAATGATTGCAATATTTTTTTATTTCAAAAAATGATAATAATATCACCTTTCGGGTTACGCGTTACACGACTTTTGAATTAGATTAATTACTATAAAAAATATGAGAATACATTTTTTGCAAATTAGGTATAGTCCATAATTGGGTTGTTTCAAAAGTGTTGTCCTATTTTATGAATCTACCTCAAAAGTCTACTTTAAACTGTAATATCTCAGTGAATTCTTATTCACTTCAATCTAAATTTATTCAGTGTATGAATTGAGAAGAAAAAATGTGTTGTGGTATTGAATGTTCGTAGAGACAGTAGTTGTTCTTGACGTTCCAGATACTCACTAAGTTTTTTGTTCGATTATATTTTTTTGTTGGAAAAGTTTTGAAGTGAAGAAAATATTCTAGCTGTCTAAAAAACAATGACTGACATAATCAGCTCACCCGGATAATCTTATCACAACAGAGCAGGACCACTCGATGCAAATCCTTGCAAATTAACCCAAGCACAGATAGGTATTCAGAGAAAATGCACGTGTCGCGGCAGATTAAATAGGCGTGTCGCTCGATTCTCATCCAATAAGAGAGAGATCGGAACAGGTACCGCCCCCGCGACCGTGCAGCGTTCTCAGTTGCAGCCAGTTTCGAAGAGATTTGAGTGCGAGCAAGTAGTCCAAGTGCGTCTCTGTGAAATCCGCGGCATGAAGCGTCGCGGCGCGGGATTCCTAGCTTCCGTCGCTTTGTGGACGCTTTTGCTTCAATATACGGATGCCGATTGGTGGTGAGTACTGGTTTACCAAGTTATTATTAATTGTTTCAGCATAAAGCCGCATAGCCGCACTCTATTTTTTATTGACTTCTTCTGAGTGAATAAAAACTGGAAAATTTTTTATATGGTATTGACCAACAACTTTCTTATGAAATTCTAACGAGTGAATTATATATTTATATAAAACCCATTATCACTTCTGAAAAGCACACTGTAATGAACAGTTCAAAGTCAAGCAATGGATAATAAATGATAAAATTTAATAAAGGAGTTATATAAAAAGTTTCATGAGTTGATTTTTCCAAGGAAAACTAATTTGAAATATACAAAAATACTTATTAGAACCTAAGAACCAAAATGGAATGGTAAGAAAACATAAAAAATTATTGAGGAAATAACGAAAAAAAAATTCAATCGACCTACATTTGATATGACTAAAAACTTACGACATGTACATAATCGCAACTTCTCATGACGTATTAGACTCAAGACTAGGTGCATTCTTTTACTTCTTTCCGAAGACAACTCTGGATCCGCCACTGAACATAGTTTTATCAAAAGTGTTTGATCTCACCTGCAATTTAATGAACAATGGTAGTGATTTTATCCCTATGATGAACATTTTCTAGATCTATACAACATAAATACATGCCAAAAATGATTAAGTATTTGATATTCATACAAACCTTTCTAATACGCCAATCTGGTATAGATTAGCAATAATTTTAATAGTTTCCGAAACTCGTTGTCATCCGAAAATCCGGATTTTCGTATGTCAACAATACGAAAATATTTTCTTGGAATATGTCAATATGCAAATTGCTTGCCTTCTATTTCTTTGTACTAAGCACACTAACACTAGTAAATTCATTACTATGTATGTTTATGGGATTATTTATTTTCTTTGAAGTCAATTGGCCAAAGTAATTGTCAGTATGGGGAATGAGACCAGATGTAAGATTCTTTCTAAGAGAATGCCCTCTGTTTTCACGGTCTTCCGATCGTGAGTCGGGCGCACTACCACCGCGGCCAATTCCACAATAGTGTAAATGTTAATTGAAATCTAGACATAAAGATTGTAGCATTGCATTTGTGTGCCAAAAATCACTCATAACTGAAATAATCTCCTAAGTGATAACTAGTTTCATAATATACTAATTAAAGATCATTTTTGATATAATTTGTAGAAACTTCATAACGAGTTGTGCACCAATTTAAATCAATTAAAATGTGTGCATACCTGAAATTTCGCTTAGCAAATAACTTGAGCGTAGGTAAGTCAATTCATGCACTGTAGTTTTGGAGATTTTATTATATACAAGGACAATTTTTGAGTACTATACCAACAAATCAACTCAACCTCTTTCTGTATTGGAAATATACGAAAAAAGTGAATTCTATGTTTTGCTGTATGCACTTGTGTCTCATTTATTTGCATAAATTTTGCAAATATGTTTTTACTTTGTTTTAGCAACTTATATTGGACTTTTGAGGTATTATCGATATTCCTGAAATTCGATGATTATCAAATAAATTATATTTTTTTTATTATAGCAAAGATAATCACTCGTATGTAAGAAATTGTTACTCTTCCTATATACCATCACTTCAGCAAGTGCCTCAAATGCGTTGAAAATAAATATTTAATGTTTCCAGCTTTTTTTTTTCTGTGTCGTAGGTACAACTGTCAGATAATTAAAAAAGAAATTAAAGGGTTATGTTCAGTTTCAATGTTGTAATATGATTTAACTTGGCAAAACTCAAAAGAATTTTTATAATTGTATGTAAATAGTGAGTTACAAAACTATGGAACACTCGCATTAATACTAATGAGTTTTTTTTCAAATGAATACTCAGAAATGTTTTTGCTTCTGAATTTCAATAAAATTGTTCAATACTTTCTATGAAAAGCACTTTTTAATGTATACAATAGATATACCTGACAATTTACCTGATTGAATCAAGCATAAATAAATCAGCTGATTAACTAAAAAACAACAAAAACAATACCTAAATTAGGTATTTACAATTTTCACTGGAAAAGAGGATGACGTCATGATTCTATCTGATCTAATAGTGCTATCGTTAGGTGGTTTATTATCTGAAGGATATTAATTAATAACAAAGCTTTTGCGTCTTGATCAGTGTTGTTATTAGTAGATTATATATAGTGTGTGAATTAAAATGGTTAAGTATATCAATTTTCAGTCCAGTAAAACAAATGAACAAATATGCATTTTCTATTCATGAAAATATTTGTATGCGACACTCTTAATATACCAGAAACCTTCGTATAACGTTGATACTCTGGTGGGAATATGTTCGCAAATGATGGGAGTTTCGAAATCATCAATATATAAATTAAAAAGTGAAAGATAAAATGAAGCTGTGAAATCATCAAAACTATTTTGGAAGAAAAAATGTGCCTGTTGATGAAAACTACACACTTGCAATTAGAAGAACAGTTCATTCACTTTATTTTGAGAAAGAAATACCGACAAAATTATGAGGCCTTGAAAGGAGACCTAAGTATGTCACCGGTGATAGGTAATAAAAAATTAGTGAAACTTCAAAGAAAATGAGTCTCAGCTGATCATCTTCAAGAGGAATATCAAACATGACGACCAAACAGCACTCCCTTAGACTGCTACTCAACTCAGACACTTCAGCCCTAGCGCAGTTCGAAGCTTTCAACAAAGAGCTTCGACAGCCTGAGCTCAATAAACTGCGCAACCCGATAACCCCGGATGACGTTCGAAGGGTCCTTGTTGGTTCCAAGAACTTTGCTGCTCCAGGCCCAGATGAGCTGAACACTTATTGGTGGAAAAAACAACCAAGTACCCACCACCTTCTGGCCAGAGTTTTCAACTCATGGCTGGACGGAGAGCAGCCGATTCCGGATTGGTTTGTCCACCATAACATCTGGTCAAGCAAGAGTCCAAACAGGATGGGTCACTTTCAGAAGGGGTGTATTTCAGGGTGATTCCCTCAGTCCCCTTCTCTTCTGTTCAATATGGATGATCTTGAACTTTATGCCTCTGGAGAGAAGGATTTCCATCAGTCCTTGAGGGTGGTGGAAGAGTACACGTATGCTATCGGTATGAAATTCGGGATAGACAATTGTGCAATGGTCCATCTCAAAAGAGGACGATGCGGGGACTACGGAGAGGGTGTGCAGCTCGTAGATGAAAGCATTCTACACTATCTGGATGCCGGAGAGACGTATACTTATCTCGGGGTGGAACAACGCCACTCACAAGAGGTAACAGCAGTGAAAAACTCTCTCCGCGGCACAAATTTTGACAGATCTGGTCATCGGAACTGTCGGGGAAGAACAAAGTTGCTGGAACAAATATGCTTGCCGTTCCAATCTTACTCTACTCGTTTGAAGTAGTGTTCGTTCAGCAAAACGTTCAGATAAAATCCGCAGATATCGCCTTACTCCTGCGGAGACACAAGGATAAGCCAATGCATGGGGTCTTGTTCAATAACATTGGAGACCTTGGCTTATCAAAGCGCCTGACGTTCGCTTTTCTCAGGTCGAGTGGGCTGAAGTCGGAAACTGAGGTTCCTGTCGCAAGGTGCAGGACCTGCCGCGATGCGCCCGAGACCCTTATGCACTTGCTATCAGCATGTCCAGTATATGCGGTTTCGGCTATATTACCAACTACGGCACTCTTATGGTATTGACGAGACATCGGTGTTGCCCTACGCTCAGAGGGATATTGAAACCGTTGTGGGGAACGAGAAGTGCCAAATTTATTGGAACTATTCGTACCCCACCCTCAGGCTCATGCAAGCTAATAAGCCTGATGTAATCCTTCTCGACCAATAGAGCAAAACAATATTTATCGTGAAGTTTTCAGCTCCTGGCGAGACGAATATCATCAGAAAAGAGGAGGAAAAACGGATAAAATATCGATATTTTCTTTTCGACCTCCGCAGACTCTATCAGACCACTCTGTCAAGATGGTTGTTCTAATTATTGGAGTTATTGGTGGAATGATGTCCTCTCTACTGAAATGATGTCCTCTCTACTCTCGAATCTTAAAATCATACCGGCTGGCCGCACTAAGGCAGAAATCTTAGCCGCACAGATGCAGAAGGCTGTCATTCTTGGCTCACTGCGCTTGCTCAGGGCACATGATTCTCGGACCCAATGATCACTTACTCCACGGTGTGGGGAGTGGTCATTGGTTGATAATGCTGGTGCACCCTCCCGAATGTATCGGGGCTTTAGGGGATAGGGCCTGACCAGCGCACGGTGAAAAAAAAAATACTAATCGTGTTTATCACTATCAAATAAATATATACAAAAAATAGATAATAATGAGATAACTATCCTAAATATCAATGAAAATAAAGGGCAAATTTTATTTTTATAAGGTGTTGAACACCATCAAAAATATTCTTCCACTTAACCCAAAAATAGAGATGTGTTCTAATTTAATGTTACATTTCAGTTACTCATTGCGAATGCATTCCTCATTGAAAATTATCTGTTCCAGAATTGAATCGTAGAAAGGGAAGGATAGCAAAAATCAAATATTATTTCAACATGGAATTTTGTCCTTTGCTGTTTTTCCCCATTAACTATTGCTATACACCCCGCATATGATTTATGATGACTCATTTACAGATATACTTACGTACCTATGTATACTCAAAACACGAGCATCGATAGTTCGTAATTGCCCGGCGCATCCAAAAGTTACCGATTTAAAGTCTATAACACTTGCTTTCCTTCCGTCAAATGCAACGTCAGTACTACAACCAATGGATCAGGGAATAATAATACGTTCACTCAAAACTAATTTCAGAAAGAACCTTGTGCTCAAAATGAATTATTGTCTTGATGCTGATGAAAACAACTCTTTTACAAAAATAACGGTGCTACATGAAATTTTGATGGTTAATGATGCCTGGCAAAAAAATGTAACAAAGTACCGTTCACCACTGTTTCAAACATGCAGTATTCATCGAAAACCACTACGGTTTACCTATTCAAGTAG